ATGAAATGAGCCCAATTCACTTTAAAATGGTCAGCAGGATTAGTTTTGCCTCAATCACAAAAAAAGTTTAAAAAGAGAGGGAGACGCTGAGGCTCAGCTGGGTCAGCACTTGGCCCCTGGCCGTCCCGCATCCCCAGTCCTGCTCTCCTGACCCATGGCACTGTCGTCTTGTTCCTGCCTCTGGCGAGGAGGCTGGCTCTGGGGCCTGTTCTCCCTGCTGGGTCCTGGGGACGTGTGGGGTGGTGACGCCTGGTGCAGGCTCAGGCGTGCTCGCTGAGGTGTTCCCAGAGCACTGTCCAGGCAGGAGTCTCGGCCCAGCAGGCCTGGCCGTGCCATCTGGGGCTGGTTCCGTCCTGTGGCCAGTCATTCCACAGGACTCATCCGGCCCTGGCTCTGCAGAGGGCAGCGGGGAGGGGGGCGGTGTGCAGACCCTGGGCTCCATGCCAGGGTCACCTGCCTGGAACCTGGACCCGGACCAGAGACCTGCCATCCTGCCACTGGCCCCAGGCTCCTGAGCTGGGGACACAGGCTCAGTGGATGCACTTAGAATAAAACGCTGGTGCAGGGAGGGAGCTCGGGGGTCACGGGGTGACATTCAGGGRATGAAAACCTAAAGGCTAGAGAGGCGACTTCATCACAAGCTGCTGAGTGTGGGTCCTGGCCCTGCTCCTCTCTCACCCCAGACCCTTGGCCCAGAGTCCACACAGGAAGTCAGGGAACTTTCTGTGGYCCAGGATGAAAGAGTGTGTGGTGAGGGGCAGCTGAGTGTCCCTGCCATTCAGGACACAGGCCCTGCCTCCCAYAGGATGCCAGCTCAGGCAGGTGACTCCTCAGGTTCCTGGGAACCTGGTGTCTACAACGATGGTGGTGATGACAAAGATACCCACCTCAAGGACAGTTGTGAGGGCTCCTGGGGGCTCTGTCAGTGGCCCACGCAGTGCCCACGGGAGCACGCACTCTTTTGGCAGGTTCTGTGCCCGCACTTCCCATTGCCAGCCTGAGGCTCCCACAGCATCAGCCCAGGCAGGTCCCCCCAGACTTACATGTTTAGGGGCCATCCTAGTCTGTCATAAGACTGGGAAGAAGTGACTTCCTATTGCTCTCCAGGGACCTCCTCTTTCTGGGTTCTGTATTCTGCCTATGGCAAGCAGACCCTCAGGAATGCTCCAGAACATGGACTTGCCTCCCCAGTCCCACCCCCGCAGTGCTGCTGGGAATTGAACCCAGAGCCTTGTGCATGCTGGGCCAGGGCTCTACCACTGGGCTACATCCCCAGGCCCTTTTGAAAATTTTCTTTTGAGACAAGAGCTCCCTAAGTTGTCCAGGCTGGCCTCAAACTTGAGATCCTCCTGCCTCAGCCTCCCGAGCAGCTGGGGTTGCAGTTGTGTGCCACCGTGCCCAGCCCTGGCTCGTCTTTCTTATCATGGCCTGTAGGTTCCAAAACATTAGCACAAGGACTGATGACCTAGACCAGCATCRCAAGTGTTGAAGAAGGTGCAGGAACCTTGGGACACTGGCCGCCTGGGACTGGGGCGGGCTGAGCCTTTCTGTTTACAGATTTCCTCCCTTGCATTCCAATTTTTTTCTGCAAAGAAAAATATTGACCCTTGAGATGCAGTTTATTTATTTGGCATGGTGAGTAGTCACCTGTTTTGAAGGATGATTTAATTTCGGCGTTGGCCCCTGTAATTTACACAGCTTCCCKTGGGTGTGTCTGACTCTGCAGTGGACAGGGTCTGTGGGGGCGGCGGAGGGGCAGAGTGGTCATTAGAAAGCAGGACGGTGGGACCCATGGCCCTGTTGTCTGCTCATGGGGCTGAACGAGGCAGCCCAGCAGCTGTGCACACCCTGGTGAGCTTCCCCAGGCCTCAAAACAACAGCACTGCCCACGTCCAGCCGTGAGCCCTGGTCTCCTACTCCTGAGTCAGAGCCTGTGGAAACCTCTAGAAGCAGCTGAAGAAAACCCAGTATGGAAAGTAAAAATCCACACTGGAAATATAGGGGGTAACCACAACAGGGTGACTTTTGCTAAGACTTATTTATTTATAGTTTTTSATTTGTTTTCGTTTCTATTCAAGAAATACGGGAGAAGCCTTAAGAGGTTTGTAAACTATGGCCCACAGGCCAAATCTGGCCTTGAGCTAAGAATGCTTCTGTGTTCTCAAATGGTTGAAAAAAAAAACAAATATAAAAGAAGATGATATTGCTGAGCATGGTGACGCAACCTGTAATCCCAGTGACTCAGGAGGCTGAGGCAGGAGAATTGAAAGTTTGAGGCCAGCCTCTACAATTTGGGACCCTGTCTCAAAATAAAATAAGGACTGGGGTATATAGCTCAGTGGTAAAGTGCCCCTGGGTTCAATCCTCAGTACCAAGAAGAAGAATGCTATTTCATGACCTATGGCAATTATGTGAAATTAAAATTCCAAAGTCCATAAATAAAGTTTTCTCACAACACAGTCATGCCAATTCATTTATCATCACAACTGTTTTCCCAGTGCCAGGCAGAGACAGCACAGAGCCTGCAGGGTTTACTGTCCAGCCCTTGATGTTGGAAGATTGTCTGACCCTTGACTTGAAGCTGAAGTGGAATACCTCTCCAYTGAAAAACCTATTAAAATAAAGCTTCATGAAAAACTTAAAATTAGCCAGGGATGGTAGTACACATTTGTCATCCCAGGGACTCAGAGGCCAAGAYAGGAGTATCACAAGTTTGAGGCCAGCCTCAGCAACTTAGCAAGAACCTGTCTCAAAATAAAAAGTCAAGTCAGGCGCCGTGGCGCACACCTGCACTTCTAGCAGCTTGGGAGGCTGAGGCAGGAGGGTGGCGAGTTCAAAGCCAGCCTCAGCAATTTAGTGAGACCCTGTCTCAAGATAAGAAATAAAAAGGGCTGGGGATGTAGCCCAATGGTTAAGCACCCCTGGGTTCAATCTCTGGTACCAAAAAATAAATAATAAATAAAAAGTCAAAAGGGCTGGGGGTGCAGCTCAGTGGTAGAGTWCACCTCGGTTTAATTCCCAGGACAGGGAGAAAAACAAATAAAATCATAACAGAAGTCAGGGGGATAGTAAAATGAATTTTCTGGAGCTTATTAATAGTGAAATGAAATCACCAGTTCGGCCAGCACCSGGCTGGGGGTTCCTTCCACCTGATCGCAGGACCCGCCCTCGTCGTCCAGCACCCTCCCTCCTAGTGCCATCCCCTTTGCCCGGGCCACCCCTGCCCCCCACCGGGCTCTTTCCTCTGGCGTGCGCTGTACCTAGTCTCTCTGCTGACCTCAACCCRGTTTTGAAGTCTGGTCTAATGTTTTCTAAAATGCGCTTCTTGGAGCTACCCCTTCCTGCCGTCTCCTCGCCTGCCCTTTGGGGTCCCACTCTGTGTGCCCGGACCATCGCCGTCACCTCCCTGCTCACAGTTGCCCCGTTGACCTCAGGCACCYCTTCTGGTGCTGCCCCTCCCTGTGAGCAGGGTCCAGACTGGCCCCTTCCAGCTCCAGGTTCTGCTTGTCTTAGGAGGAGCAGCCACGGTGCCCGATCTGCCCGCTTCTCATTGACCGGGTGGAAGTGCAGAGGGACCCAGGAGAGTGCGGACGGCCGCAGCCTCTGATCTGGGTGTAAGTCAGGTGACAGGAGCCACCTGTGACCATACGGCCTACCTCAGAAGGGAAGCCCATTCCGTCTGCACAGACAGACACTCTGTCCGTCTGCGCCCACGTTAACCGTAGGAGCCATCTAGACMCAGTGGCGGGAACTGAGGGCCACTTAGAACTGGCACTCAGTGGCCTGGCCCCTGTTGAGCTGCCCTGACATGTGTAGCATTCTGTCCCTTCTCACGCTGTGAGAGGAGCCAGCTGCCAGATAGGGCACGCGTGTGTGCAGGYGTGTGCACAGGGGCTGGGCTGGCAGTGTGAGATAGCCAAAAGGGAGGGTGCACCTCACTGAGCCTGTGCTCTCCGGGCGTCCCTGGAAGGCSGGCTTGCCCACGTGGATTTTGCACCCAGGGGTCACCATCTGATAAAGATGGCCTGGGAAAAGGACTCTCCCCACCGTCCCTGGAGACCTCCAGTGCGGCACACAGCTGTGTCACCCAGGCACGGGAGCTGGGAACCCAGGGCTGCAGCCATTCACAAAGGCAATGCCAAGTATTAGCAGCAAGAAGGGCGCAGGGGGTGGGGGTGGGGTGCTGCAGTCACAGAGCCCTCGCCTAGGTGCTGTCCCCAGCTCCATGGATTAAATAAACAACAGCAGGCACAMCTGTAGTCCCAGCCACTTGGGAAGCTGAGGCAGGAGGATCAGTTGAGCCCAGGAGTTCAGGGCCAGTCTGGAGAACATAGTGAGACCCTGCCTCTAATTAAAATGAAACAAGCCGGGGGCTGTGGCGCACACCTGTCATCCCAGCAGCTCCGGAGGCTGAGGCAGGAGGGTCAGGAGTTCACAGCCAGCCTCAGCAATAGCGAGGCACTAAGCAAYTCAGTGAGACCCTGTCTCTAAACAAAATACAAAGTAGGGCTGGGGATGTGGCTCAGGGTTCAAGTGCCCCTGAGTTCAATCCCAGGTACCCCTCTCCCCCCAAAAAAATCCAAGAGTTGATTTGGGGGGGCTTGGGATGTGGCTCAGTGGTCAGGTGTCCCTGAGTTCAATCCCCAGTACCCCCACCAAAAAAAATCTAGCATTTTCCTTCTGAAGAAGTGGAGAGAGCGCTGAGAGTAAGGGCTCAGGTCTGCAGAGCCTGCCTCGCACGGTGATTTTGAGTGTGAGCTGGTGTAACACTGGTTACAAACACATGGAAATGTCCCAACACTTGGGCAAGAATGCGGAGCACAGGTTGAGACGGGGCACCTGCTCCTTGGAGAGGGGAGTGGGGTGGCCAAAATCTGCCTGCCGTGACCTGGGGGCGGGCACTCTCTCCCTGTCCCCACCGCAGCCCAGCACTCCTGGGAACTGAGTCCTTCAGCTCAGCGTCCTGCCGCCACCTCTCACCCTGCATCTCCTCCCCCCAGGTGAGCCTCGCACCAAGATGGCTGAGCCGCGCCAGGAGTTTGACACTGCGGAAGACCACGCTGAGGGCTACGCCCTGCTCCAGGACCAAGAGGGGGAGCACGGCCTGAAAGGTTAGTAGACAGCTGTGTGCAGCAGGCCAGGTGCCTGGGGAGCACAGCCAGCCTCTTGCTTTGGCAAGGGCGGGCAGGGGGCCTTTGCATCCTGGTCATTGGGCTTTTCAACACCTCATTGTATAAGATGTCAGGGGTGTGGAGCCTTAGTAACTTGAAGGGGCCAGGATCACTCAAAATGTGAGGCTATTTCAAAATTTACCTTTCCAAAGGAGAGTTTGCCGCATGAGTGGATGGAGTGTGACAAGCTTGCAGGGCTCAGGAATACAGGGGTCCTTGACGTCTCAGCCACACCCSTTATCCTATAGGCCTGTGCTCCTGAGCACATGAAATGCCCAGCGTTGACCTGTACTTCTACCCTCCCTCAGTGAGGCCCCGCCTACGTGAGCTTCCAAAATGTCTGTAACACAGTCTTCTGGCCACACTGATCTGACTCCATCCTCAAACCCCTAAATGCACAGCCAGATGCGGTGGTGATTCAGCCAGATACAGTGGTGCACACCTATAATCCCAGCGGCTCGGGAGGCCCAGGCAGGAGGATCATCATAAGTTCATAGCCAGCCTCAGCAAGTCATCAAGAAAAAAATAAAAAGGGCTGAGGATATAGCTCAGCGGTAAAGTGCCTCTGGGTTCAATTCCGGGTATCGCTAAATGCACGTGATTCATTTTGCTGTGTGACTACGTGTCAGGGAGATTGGGACACTCCTAGGGCTGCCCATCTCTGGAGCATGGAGCTGGCCCAGGGTGCTGAGCTGTGTGACAAAGAGCTCTCTCCATGGGTCKCCAGGGCACAGCCCCACTGCAGTCCTGTGGGTGGATGGCTCGGTCCCACCCACCACCAGACCCATTTCTAAGGAGACAGAACGGAGACCGTCTACATTTCTCTTTTTAATGCTAAAAATTGCAGCTGGGGTGCGGGTGGAAGTCACAGAACTCCAAGGTTGGAAGTGACCTCTGCCAGCTGCACCTATCCAAGGAGAGTCCTTCAGGAGGGGGCATCACAGGGTCCCCCAGATGTGGGGAGCAGGGGGTCCAGCTCTCCTGATGTGGAGCAGCCATCCCCCCTGGAGAATTTTGGGACCTGCTCAGGGACCTGATTCCAAGGCTGGTTTCTCTCTCGGTGTCAGCAGGGAGGCCTTAGTCTAAGATGCGCATTGGGAATTGGAAAGGTGAGTTGAGGCAGGGAGGAGGATGTGGGCACCCTACTGGAGCGGAGGGTGTGGGGGATGCAGGCTCCAGCCAAACCTCTGTACCCAGCATCTCCACCAAATGGAGACGAGAAATGTTGAATAACTAGATTATTAAACTCTCATGCGTGGAATCCAAGTTAGAATCACAGCATACTGAATTCAGAGTGAGCTCTTCAAATACTGAGTTGTGCCAATGAAAAATGGCACTGTCTATAGAGGTAGGGCAACCTGGCTTAAATATTTGGTTAAAAATATATGTTGTCTCCTGGCACGGGCAGCACACACCTGTAATCCCAGCAACTCAGGAGGCCAAGGCAGGAGGATTGCAAGTTCGAGACCTGCCTCAACAATTTAGTGAGACCCTGTCTCAAAATAAAATTCATAAAGGGCTGTGTTTTTGCTCAGATTGAACCCCTGGGTTCAATCCCCAGTACCGTATATTATATTGCAACGAATGTACCATAATAATGTAAGATGTTAATGATAGGGCGGCTGGGTGTGGAGAGACTTATATATATCTTCTGTATATCTAAAAATATACTAACATTATAAATTCATTTAAAACCAAGTCCCATGAGGGRTGGTTGTTACCAGTCTTATTTTTTGCACTAGATTCAACCTGCAAACAAAGAATAATTGACCAAGTTACTTCGTGTTTCTGGGTTGCCTTAAGTATGTTTGTTCAAACTGCTATTCAATTCTTTAATATAAGACGTGATCAGAAGTTCTGTGCGCGCGCTCTCTCTCTCTCTCTCTCTCTCTCTCTCTCTCTCTCTCTCTCTCTCTCTCTCTCACACACACACACACACACACACACACACACACACACACATGCTGCAGAATTTAAGTTGCTAACCTTTTTGAAATGCTGTGAAAGGAGAGGACTCGCTAGCTGACCCCAAGACGTCCTCTCCAGGAGAGCCAGCGAGACCTAAGAGACTTCCACAGTCTCACCAAATTAATTCTCGCTACTCAGCGTTCAAAGGAGCTGTTTTTATGTGGGGAGCTGGAGTTGGCAGAAGGTGTCACTGTACTGACAACACTTTAAATAAGTGACAAAAGTCTATTTTGAATAGTGACAAGAAACTGCATGTTAAATACCAGAACAAAGAGGGTCTGAGTGGGTGCTAAAAGCTGCAGTGGGGCGGGGACAGCCACAGAGAGCTATATGCCAGGTACACTGGGGACACCAGGGATGCCGGGGACGCCAGGGACGTGGGTAGCTGAAGAAACAGTGGCCTCCGGAGTTGAAGGCCTCTCCAGATCGGCTGGTTAGACCTTCCTGACATTGACGAGGGCTTTTCCCTCCCTCCTTCCCTCTCTCTAAGGAACTTAGCAAGGATATTGCAGTTGGAAGAGTGGGCAGGGGACAGGTGCCCTGTGCCGTGGCTAATGTCAAGACCACACGCAGTCTGCAGGCTGTGGCCTCGTCATTCAGCCAAGACCTGCTCGAGACAGTCTGCAGGTTTTTACAAGCTCCAGGACCAAGGAGCCGCGCATGTGTGAGAAGCTTGTTTTGAACAGGCCAATGGGTGTGGCCAGGGCCTGGTGTCCAGGGATGGCTTTGGGACCAAGCGGGTGGGTGTCTGATCACACGGTGCACTTGAACTCCATCCGCCTTTCTGTCATCTTCACATTCTGCCCCATCCTGAAACTGAGGTTGCCCCTGCCCCTGGTGAAGTGGCCTGGTCCACCAGAGCCTCCCCATTTCCACTGAGTGCCCCATCCCCACCCTGTACCTCTCCCGGTTCCTACACTGCTGTTGGAGACTCTGCCACCACCTGGTCCGCCGTGACCCCAGCCAGTGCCTACACCATCCTCAGCTCCCCAGGGACACCGCCCACCTCTCTGCTGGCCCTGGCGCCCTCACCACAAAGCTGGGTTTGGAGACAGTCGCCCTGTGGCCTTTGCGAACTTCTCCCTTTTTGCTGTCACCCACTGTCACCCTTAAGGCCAAGCTCAGCAAGCCATGGCCGGACAGGCCAGATCTGGCCCCTCGCYGGCCTGCATCCAGCCGCCAACTGAGAACAGTCTTTATTTTTCATACGGTCGAGAAAACCTACATCCTGAGCATGTGGCTTCCCCACCCAAGGTGGCTCACAGGTGGGAAAGGCAGCCAGAAGGGGAGGAGGGGACCAAGGGAGCCCTTCCCCACTGAGCTCCTCCCAGAGAGATGCCCTGTCCAAACACTTCCCCTGACTTCCCACTGGCCACCCCTGCCTGGCCAGGAGGCTGGAAGATGTGGCCTTCTGATGGGGTAAAGCTCCAACCTGAATCACCTCAGGGTTCTGTGTCCAAGGTGGGTTGAATGGGCTGCCAGGAAAGTCCCCTGTGCTCGTGGGCTATGGCTACTAAGTAATGCTGGACCTTTCCTCAGATGGCCAGAGTCCACTTGTCCATCTGTTACAATGATCAGCTACCTGTTGGGACCCCCAGGGACTCCCAGTCAACATCCACATCACTGTCATCAGCACTGTGAGTGTTCGGTGCTACGCTGGGCCCTTCAACCAAGGTGGCATCATGCTGAGTGACAGCAGGCACCACCACTTACCAAGGGCTTCTTACACGCAGGCCCCATGTGGTGCTATAAACAGAAGCCCCCTGAGAGGGTGGACCTGTTTCCAGGCCCAGGAAACTAAGGCAGAGAGAGGGCAAGTCCCTTGGCCAGAGTCACACACACGGCAGGCAGTGGAGCTGGATTTGGGCCTCAACACAGCAGCATTACAGGCAGCAAAGGGAACAGTGTGAAGGGAGGGGCCCTAACACACAGGGGTAAGCAAGGTCACCAAGATAACAGAGCAGCACTGACCTGATGGTGGAGATGACACTAGGCACCCTGGAGAGACCTCTCTGGGCACACAGGGCCAGGCTCAGGAGAAGAGGAGGGAAAGTTGGTGAGAGTCAGCACAAAGGGTTCAGAAACTCCCATGTGAGCTTCCCAGATTTCCATCTCGTCATCTGTTCATCCATCCAGCCATCCAACTAGCCACCCAGACCTCCTGTCACTCAATAATCCACCCATTCATCCGTTCCTCTGTCCCCTCTTCAATCATCCATCCACCCGCCCACTGTCGTTTGAGCCATGGCTTACGATGAGGGTCATCTAAGTCCCCGGTGGGACTGAACTGCAGGGACTTCTTCACATCACTGAGAACGAGTCCCACAAATGCAAATCCTCAGGTTAGCAGAGTGCTTCCCCCACGAGGTCCCCCCAGCAGCTCCAAGAGGAGGGGGCAAGTAGGGTCGATATCATGTCACTCATTTTACAAATCAGAAAACTGAGGTCCTGAGAGAGAAGTTCAAGGCCCCTGCTTAGAAAGAGGTGGAACTGAGATGAACCCAGACATCTTGGCCCTTTTTTCCCCAGTGCTTTCTAGACTGTAATGCCTCTTCCTGTTAGGAGACCTTCACGAGGACAGTCTCAGCTGGCCTAGGCCTGCTCTGGGACAAGCTGGCGCCTGAGCCCTTTGCTCCGTGTGGCCACTCTCTCTCCCTCATTAGGCCGTGTGCCCCTGGAGGCAGGCTGTGTCTTTTTAGCATCTGATTCTCTCTGAGTACCCAGCCTGGGCTCTGCACACGCCAGGCGCTCAGCAGGCCTTCCCCTGCTGTATTTGACAACCTTGGCTCATCCAGCCCCAGAAGCTGAGTGATGCCTTGATAAACTCATAGCGACCAGAGCAGATTGACTTCTGGTGCCAAGGTGCCACACCAAAGGGGGACAATGCKGTCCTTCCTGGATGAGGAGGAGAAGACAGACTTCTTCATTCTATTAAAGCCCACAAAAGCCACCTTACAAGGGCGTTCATGGTGGATGGTGTGGCTCTGGATGGTGGGTCTTTTGGGGGTCCATGGAAAGCTTTCCATGAAAGGAGCTGGATGAAGTCCAAGTRGATGCAGGCCCTGGGTCCGCCCTGGGCCCGTTCTTTTCCGAGGCGGGAGCTGGATCTCTGAGCATTTCTCCGGGTGTCCACTTGTCCTTCGTTAACAGCACTGGCCAACAGCAGGTTCACTGCGGCTCAGCTTCCTGGTATTTGCCACCATTTGTCAACAGGAGAGCCTTTGCCTCACAGGAACTGGCTGGTGGAAGGGCAGCCTCTCCTGCGCCAACGAGCGTTCCCCACATCTTCATCTGGTCACCCTGGTGTGGGGTACAGTTGTGTGGGGGGGTGCTGGTCCCCTTTGTTGTCTGCTCACATGGACGTGGGGTCCACACTGAGGGGTTTGCAGCTCCAAGGACTCTGCTCCCGAGTTCAGGAGGCCTGGGGAGAGGCCGCCGTCCTGAGGGGCTCACTGTGTATGTTCCAGCGTCTCCCCTGCAGACCCCCGCCGATGACGGATCCGAGGAACCCGGCTCTGAGACCTCGGATGCTAAGAGCACCCCGACGGCCGAAGGTGGGGCTCCCCCTCTCGCTGCTGCCGCCAGCCTGCGCTTAGCCGAGCTTTGGGCCACCGTCCCTCGTGCGCTATGCTCCAGCTGCGTTCGCTGCCCCCTCTCCCACGGGCTGAGAGCTGTGCTTGCTGGATGCTTCGCAGGACAGGGCTGTGGGCGCCGGGCCCATGCACAGTTCCACAGAGCCCCTGTCCCCAAACCATTGTCCTCCCACAGCCCCTTGTGAAGTTACCCTTTGCTCTTCTTTTGGGGGCCACCAAGGCCCACAGCAGCCATTTGTTTGAGGAAGGGGCAGGTCACCTGCACCTGGGGCCTGGTCTTGGTTTGGTGTCCTTCGTTTCTTGGGCTCTGGGTGTGGCTTGGGCCTCTGCCCTGGTCAGCCTCTGCTAACCTGTCCTTTCCAGGCCTTTGAGACCAGGGTGTTACAGAGTCCCTGTGTACTTGCTGAAATCTCYTTGGTCCTGGTTTTGATCACCTTCTCTTGTGGTCTGTGTCAATCACGACTACATCTGGAGCCAGGTCCAGTGGTGCACACCATTAATCCCAGAAACTCAGGAGGCTGAGGCAGGAGTTTGATGCCAGCCCAAGGAACTTAGYGAGACCCTGTCTCAAATAGAAAATCAAAAGGTCTGGGGATGTGGCTCAGTGGTACAGCACCGCTGGGATCAACCCCTGGTGACCAAAAGAAAAGAAAGAAAGTGGCTATCAAGTGGCTGCCAACTGCCTGCTCTAATAGTGAGTCCCAGCGCTCTTAMCCCTGAGGTCCTCAGCCTGGAAAAATTCCCATTGCTCTCCCGAGAGCCCGTGATGTCAGACATTTCCTGCTCATCTTGTTAGGACAGTTTTGCAAGTTGCCTGCACCCTGAGAAAATCCTAAAACACTACCCAGACCTCACGCCAGCTTCCCAAACCTTGGCTTTCAGAGCTCTGTCCATGTGACTCTAGAAGAACCTCCCACCCATGCCCAGCTGTGCTCTGGGCTGTCCGTGTCCAGCCCCAGGCGCTTTGGCTCTCACCCACAGGGAGAGGCTAGACTTTGCCCAGCTACTCGGCCTGTTCCCAGCAAATGATGAAAATGGCCTTCATTGAACTAGGCTGATTTCAGCTCCTGGGAAGCCTTCCAGGGTGACAGCTCCTCGGGTGTGCCCAGAACACCTGGGGTGACTGGGCCAAGATGTATCACTGGGCCAGGAGGAACACTGGCCTGCAGAGCCCACCTTGACGGGGCGCTGACCGCAGCTCCTGGAGGTCCATCCTCACTGCCCGCCTCTGCTGCAAAGCTCAACCACCTCTGGTCACGCACCAGCTCCAGGCAAGACCAGGCCTGGTCATTGCCACACAGGGGCCTCTGCCCTCTGATCAGGGGTCATGAACTAAGATCTGGAAAAAATCTCTGAGACCACCTAGAGATGGCACAGATGGGGAAACTSAGGCCCAAAGAGGAAAAAGAACTTGCTCAAAAACCTCCCAGCTGTAGGCCCCAGCCCTATACCCAGGGTTCCTGCACTGCCCTATCCCAATCATGTCCTCCCACACCGCCTCGAGGGTCACATATCTGGCTCTCAATTGTTCTTTATTGTTCTTTACTTAAGTTTTAGGCAGACACAATATCTTTATTTGATTTTTATGTGGTGCTGAGGATCGAACCCAGTACTTCACGTGTGTCAGGCGAGCACTCCACCAGTTGAGCCACGACCCCAGCCCTCAACTATTCTTTAAAAACAGTGCTTACGTGGGGTGGGGACTGCTGGGCTTGCCTGGCAGGGCCTGGCGTCTGCCTGCRGTGACATGCTTGTTGGGGAGAAGGGGCAGGAGCAGCTCTGGGTCCTGCTTTGTGCTGGTGCTTTCTTGCATGTGGCCAGGTCCCCTCCTGACTCCCCCTGCTCTGCTCCTGCATAAGCAGCGAAGAGAGGGGCTGGGTGTGGCCCGCCCCTCTGAGGCGACTCTCGTGGTTTCCAGACGCGACTGCACCCTTAGTGGATGAGAGAGCCCCCGGCGAGCAGGCGGCCGCCCAGCSCCCCACGGACATCCCAGAAGGAACCACAGGTGAGGGCGACCCCAGGAGCCAGCGCTGGGCTGACCTGCTGCTGGGATGGTGCACTTTAGGTCATCCTGGTGTCCGGGCGAGGCAGGATGYGGGCGACCCTGGCTTCTGGGACTCTCTGGCTGTGGGGAGCCGAGGCCTCGGGGCCTGCAGCCTCCCCGAGGACTGACAGCCTCTGGATTCCTCCTGGAGCCTCCTCCCCTGCCTCAGTCAGCGCATCAGCTGCAGAGTGTATGGGACTTTCTGAGGCAAGAGACAGAGCCAGGCCTTCACACCCCGGGCATCAGCCCTCCTGCTCCAACTCTGCCCAGCAGCAGGTCACCCTCCTTGGCCGGTTTGTCCGGAGGAGCACCCGAGCTCGCAGCAGGACTAGATGCCTCCACACTTTTTGAGGGCTTCATGGGGCAGTCCTGGGAGGATCCCAGAGAGCGACCTGGCATCCATTTATATCACTCTTGCCCTGGACACAGTGTTTGCAGAAAGACGAGGAGMGGTACCCTATGACAGGGAATCGGACAGAGAAGGGTGCCGACAGGAACAGCACTGGCTCGGGGCTGCCCAGTTCCTAGAGAGCTGCCTCCTGGGGTCCCCAGGAAAGGGACAGCTCAGCTAGGGCCCCTGGTGTCGTTCTSTCTGTGGCCTCTTCCTTGGCCTTAATTGAGAGTGTCCAGCAAGAAATGCAGAGGRCCCCGCCACCCTGGGCCAGCCGTGGAGGGCAGGTGGAAGCCGGCAGCAATTTTCTTTCCTTCCTGGGTCAGTGCTCTCTCCCAGCTGGAATTGAGAAGCCACTGGGGGGCATGTGCACCCCTTCAAAGTRCGTTCCTCCTTGGCCAGGTGATGGGCAGCGAGGCCTTCTGAGATGGCTGGAGGGATGGTCCCCAAGCCTGCAGGGCTTCAGTCTGGAGCATGAAGGTGATCAAGGACCTCGGAATGAAAACTCACAGAGTGTGCTCACCGGTGACTTGATTTTGTCCCCTGCTGTCCCTTATAGTGTTGTTGGTGGGGGAGTTTGTCCCTTGCCCAGGATGAGAACGTCAGCCAGCTCTTGACTTTTCATGGATCCTGGGTAATTGGGGGCACCATCTGACAGCCAAGCTCCTCACACTGGCCGAGCTCAGGCCCTCCACTGGGGTGGCCTGGGGCAGGTGGGTGGGATGGGCAGCAGGCTGGCCTGGTGTGAGTTGCTGTCCTCCCTGGCAGGTGTTGGGACAGAACTCTTTCTCTCTTGGAAACCTCATCTGAATTCTTCTGGGCTCTTCTTTCTTTATTCCCTATCTCTTGCCACTGTCCCATGAAGACCCTCCCTCTGCACTGGATTCTGGCAGACTTCCTGTCCCCTCTCTCCTGGACCCAGMAATAGCTCACCTCTGCTGAGGGTGGCTGGCTTCCACTGGTGGCCTGTTAGATGTGATCTGAGATGCCCTCCTGAGCCTCTGACCTGGCCAGCATCARCTCCATGGGAGATCCCAGCAGCAAATTTGGGGTACCCTGCTGGCTGGGCTGCAGTGGTGCTCCTCTGCTCAGCCCCCGAAGCATCCCCTCTCCCACCCCAAGGTGTTCCCAAGGGGGACCCTGACAGTGCTCACTAGGTCCCTGGCCAGAGGGAACATGTCAAGTGTCTRTCTCCAAATGATGCCTTGGAAACCACAGGCCACCTCCCACCCCCAGCCCTTTCCACCCTCCGTGTGGTGGCAGGTTTTAGGGTTCGATGAGCGTTTTTTCAGCTGTCGACAAGATATGCCTTAGTTTAGTCCCTCGTCTTGGTGCACCCTGTTTGCTGTGTCTTGTGTTCCAGTGAAACTGCCCACGGATGTCCTGTGGGGTGCAGTGTGGCTGCCACTGCAGGAGTCCTGCCTTGCTGGGAGCAGGGAGCCCTCCTGCTTCCTTGAAAATGCCCCCAGGGATATCAGAGGCTGTTAGCTACCACATCCCCACTGCCATGCCCCCTGCCCCTCTGAGGTTTTTCTGAGTGTCCCTCCCCCTCACCAGGGCCTTCCAGTTCTGCACCACCAGGCCAGGAGGTCGCAGTTCTGCAGGGGCACAGGAAGGCCTTCATCTGCCCCGTGGCAGGGCATCATCCCGGGGTTCTCCGTGTGCCTGCTGCCTCGAAGACTCTGYGGCCCGTTAGCTGGACGGTTAGCTGGACGTGCTGTCACTGAGTGCCCTTCTTCCCTTTTCATCTTCTTCCCCAAACTCAGACCAAACTCATGCTCAGAGCTCCTGAGCCATGGGCTAGCGTTGGCCCAGTGCTGTGTCATGGGACAAGAAGCTGTCACCATTGAGACTAGCCCAGTGCTGTCTGTGGGGGACCCAGAGGGTGTCCATGCTGATGATGGACACCCTCACATGCTGCCTCCTTGCAGCTGCCCTGGGACAGCCAACCAGCTGGGTAATTAAGAGGCCACCGTGTGGCTGCCCAACGACCCTGGGTACCTCTTTCCCTTGCCACTCTCTCCATGGCAGAGCATGCTGGCATCTCTGCCGGTCTGGGGACTATGCTGATGGCCCAGCCAGGCTCACAGGCATTTCTCGGAGGCCGTCACCTCTCGTCGGCCTCAGGCAGGCTGGTAAATGCTGGGGCAGAGGTCAGTGTGTGGCCAGCTGCTTATGTGCTCCGCCTCAGGCAGTTGCATCCTGTGTTCTAGGAATGAACGCTTCTTGATTTAGGTCCTGTGGATGTTGTCAGGAAATTGACTCAGCTTTCTTTGTTTGGGGTGACCGGTGGCTCCCTAAACAGGAACCCAAGACCCCCCAAAAGCTACTCTCTGACACCACTGGCCTCCCTCCGGCCAGGCAAAACCCGTTCCTGGAGGATTTGAAGGAAAGAAGTTAACAAGTTTGGGGCACCTACCCTAGCCAGGCACCCTGCTGCACACCTTCACACGCACTCTCTACTCTCTACCCCTCCCATCCTCCAGAAGACAAGCTGGGGTCATCTTCCTGGGGCTCCAGATGAGAAAACGGAGGCTCAGAGAGGAGGTGTTGGCCGCAGGGCAATCTGACCCTGAGTCTCCCACCTGCAGTGCTGACTGCGGGGGGCCTCACAGCAAGTGCTTCTCTGACCTCTGGGTCCTGGCATCTTTGTGAGTCATGACTTGAACCCCCTCTTCCCTCCTAGGTGACAGTCACCGGTCAGGTGTGTGGCTTTGGGGTTTTGTTTAGGAAACCATTGTCATTGCTGTCCCCAGCAGTGACCTTTGCAGAGGAGCCAGGGCTGCAGCCCTTGGTATTCTGAGGATGTGTCTTTCCTGCAGGTTTTAGGAAAGATCTAAGATGCAGAGTTGGTTCTGGCAAATAGTAACTGTCTGTTTTTGTCCTCCCTCTGCTGACCCCTAAACCAGCYGAAGAAGCGGGCATTGGGGACACCCCAAACATGGAAGACCAAGCCGCTGGACATGTGACTCAAGGTCAGTGGGCCCAAATTGCCTCCACCACTTGGGAATCAAAAGGAGAGAGATTCGAGCATTCAGTGGGCCACCCCAAAAAGAGCTCAGACCTGGATWTTTCCCCAAATACTTGGTTCTTACCAAAGGTGGGCCACTCAGTAGCAAAAGAGCCCTAGCAGGGTTTTTTTCTGACACCMTTTTTGTGTCATTCCTGAAGTGTTCAGTGTTCCAAAGGGAGCTGACCTTGCCCAGCCTGGGAGTCGAAAATAAATATCTGACAGAAATGCAAATATATATGCACACAAAAGCTGTCCCCATCACCACCAAACTTTTGCATTTGAACTTTCTTCTGTGTAGCCTGCAAACCTTATGATTTTCTTCTCAGGAAGTGAACTTGTTCAGTTCAAGAAAAGCAGCTTTCTGTTATTGTTTATCATAAATATGCTAAGAACTTAATTTATAACATCCTAGAGACCCAGGGTCATTTTAGCACTGAGCCACATCCCCAGACCTTTTGATTTTTCATTTTGAGACCGAATCTCCCTAAGTTGCTGAGGCTGAACTCGAACGTGTGATCCTCCTGCCTCAGCCTCCTGAGTTGCTGGTGTTACAGGTGTGTTCCATTGTGCCCAGCTAGAGATTCTTAATCTTGGGAAATGGAGACTTCTGGTATAAATACAACATGGGCTGGGCTTGTTTAGTRTCATTTTCTGGCCAAATGAACTGTACGATGTGAAAGCTTCCAGAGTACAAAAGAGCTGAGATAGTGTTCTTTTGTCCCAAAAGTGATGGGGGATTTGAGGCCAGGGTGCTGTCTGTCTTTGGAGACTCGGCCTCCCTGAGAGCATGGTGAGGCTAAAGATTCTCATCTCACCTGGCATGGAGAGGGTGCCTTCGTTCTTAGGTGAACAGAGAGCTTTGGAAACTACTGGAAGGAGAACAATGCACAGCAGGGCCTCCGTCTATGTGTGAATTAACTAAAACCCTGGCTCCTGTTTGTGTGCAGGAATGGAATCCGGGTGTCACACAGACGCTGGGCCACCGAGCCCAGCTTCCGCCCTCCCATTCCTTGTGGTCGTGAGTTTCAGCTTAGGTAAAATTGGAGCTTTCGTGAATTATAATCTCCAGAAGTCATCATCTATTTCCTTTTTTTAAAAAAAAAGTGAATGTGAGTTTGTTCTACAGATTTGGGGTGCAGCCTGTAGTCCGACGGTGCCTAAGACCATTAAGGTTGTCTCTGGATAGAGCTGTGGTGTGCGGGGAGTCGGACAGGTGAAGGCCTTGACCAGTCCAGGGATACCCGGGGGTCCACCCACCTCCTTCAAGTGACCGCAGAGACCAGGCCTCTGGGAAGAARGTGGGGGGCCTGTCTGGAGGGCTGTCTGCCCTGACTCCGTGGCGGCCCCAGTGCTTGCTGTGTGGCATATTTGCTGACACCTCATGGTGTCCTGGGAGTGGACAGGACATTCTGCCAACTCACTCCTCCCTCTGGGAGCGAGCTGCGCGCTGGGCTCCTCACTGAGGAGCGTGGGCTGCACCCCGTCCCCCCGCCCCCGTGCTGATGGTTTTCAAGGGGTGCTCCCGTCCACGTCTGGGGGCTTTGTCTCTTTTTGAAGAGTGGCTCTTGAAGTCCTGGGGTCCGAACCTCCTAGTCGAGAGCAATCCCTAGGAGACTCTGGGAGGAATGCGCTTTCTGGAAGGCAGTGGGGACCCAGCCTGTTGAGTGGCATGGTGACCAGGGCTGCCCTCACCCTGGACCCGTGACCTGGCCTAATGACAGAAGTTCTGGCCCTCAGGCTCAGCTCTCTTTGGGGCTACTTTTCTGAGAGGTTGACTGAGGACCCCAATAAGGTCCCCAAAGACCCTGCAAGAAGCAGGGATGCGTCTTTTCCTGACACCAGCTGATCCAGGGAGGGTGCATTTATTGATCACCTGCTGTATGAAGGCACAGTTCTGGGAACACAAAGTGAATGAATTGGAGAGTCTGCCCAGCGTGAGGGTAGAGGGGGCTCGAGCTGTGCCTGATCTAGGTGGCAAGCCAGTGTGAAGCCACACCCCTGCTGACGGGTGGGGACAGGGTCTGGTCCACACATTACTCACATGCCCACCGCTGCACATGTGTGTGGGCACACGTCTGTGCTCCCCTGCCTTCCCTCCCCTCGTCCTAATCTCTTTTCCAAGTCCCTGAATCCTTTGGGGCCACAGGTCTGGCTCCAGGAGAGCCCGGGARGTTATGTGGGTTCTTCTGTTGGAACCAGATGGGATGTCCAGAGTTGGGAGTTAAAAAAGTAAAGTGTGCTTATGAGGACCGTTCAGAACACACAGCCACACGCTGCACAGAGGGACTCACATGAATGTCACGTGAATAAGCCAGAAAAAAAAAAAATGAGCGTGGCCTCCATCAGCTGAGTTGGTGCAACACGTGGTGTGACCGGTTAGAGCAGGCGACCCCTGAGTCTTGGCTGCCACCAAGGTCCTGCCTCACCTTAGGCAGAAGGTCTGCTGTGTGACGGGTGAGCTGGAGAGGGCTGCACGCGCTCCCCTTTAAGGGAATCTTATGACACTCTCGATCCTGGACGATTATAAATCACGGCTTTCCAGGCTCGAGGCTGGGTGGGTTTGTGGCACCCGCTTCATTCACCGGAAAGGGAAACAGTCAGAAAGAGTAAGAGGAAAGGGGGTCCTCTGTGACAAGCTCCAGGCCCTGCCCAGAGTCTGTGGGCAAAAGGAGAAGTAGTGCCCACACCAGAAGGGGCCTTGGAGGTGACCAGGGCTAAGCCCTCCTTTTATAGAAAAGAAAACTGAGGCCCAGAGAGAGGAGGGGCTCACCCCAGGTCACCCGCAGGTTGGTGGCAGTGAGACAAGAGAGCTTTCATTCTAAGCAACCAGCAGCGAGAGGAGACCAGAGCCGTGCTCCTGCCAGGTCAGGGGCCTGTGATGCGTCTGAGCGTCTTTCTCTTATGGCGAGAGTGACGTTCCCTCTCTAAACAGTTCCTGTGCCCTTGCTAACCTTTTGCCACTGCTACCTCTTCAACCCAGAGAAGGTGAGCGCTCCAGGCCTGCAGAGGGCGGCGCCCGAGAGGCCCCAGGCCGAGGTCTCAGTGGCATCTCTGGGTGAAAAGCAGCCCGAAGCTCCCGTCCAGGCGAGTGCACACCTTCCTCAGCAGCAGCCCACCTGCCCGGTGCCACCTCCACCAGGAGGCCCTGGAGAAGCCCCCCTGGAGTGGGGTCAAGAGCACGGGGGCCCAGCCCAAGAGGGTGTGGCAGTCGCAAAGCYGTCCTCCCCTGCGCATCTCCACGCGGAGCCCGAGGGGGCCGAGGTTGTCCAGGAGAGCTGGCGCAGGGAGACGGAGCCCGGGCCCCGTGAGGGCRAGGCCTCAAACGCAAGGGCCCCAGGGCTGACCCCCCAGCACGTCCCCCCCAGGCCCAGGACCCCCATCCCACCCGAAGGCCCCAGAGAGGCCACACACCAGCCCTGGGGAACAGGACCCGAGGACCTAGAGGGAAGCCAAGACCGTGGGCCGCTGGAGCGCCAGTTATGGAGAGACCAGGACCAGGAGGGGCTGCCTCCGAAGGGAGGCCATGACAAAGAGAGGCTGGGAGGCCGGGAGGAGGTGGATGAAGACCGAGATGTCGACGAGTCGTCTCCCCGAGACTCCCCTCCTTCCCGGACCTCTCCAGAAGGGCCGTCCCCTCCGGCGGTCTCCAGAGAAGCCGCTGGTATCTGTGGCTTCCCGGCTGAGGGTGCCATCCCACCTCCTGTCGATTTCCTCTCCCAAGTTCCTGCAGAGATCCCGGCCTTGCAGCCCACTGGGCCCAGCACAGGGCCCCCGGTGGAAGGGCCCGAGGCTGCCCCCGAGTTCACGTTCCACGTGGAAATCAAATCCCATGTGCAGAAGGAGCAGGCCGGGTCAGAGCTGGATCTGGAAAGGGCCGCACATCTGGGGGCCCCTGGAGAGGAGCTAGAGGCCCAGGGCAACTCTGTGGGAGAGGCCACAAGAGAGGCTGGCCTCCCGGAGCCACCTGAGAAGCGGCCTGCAGCTGGTTTGCCAGGGAGGCCTGTCAGCCGGGTCCCCCAACTCAAAGGTCTGTGTGTTGAGCTCCCTCGCTCTTCCCCTGGCGCCCTCCTGTGCCACCCCGGCTGCGGGCACTGCCACCGGCCCTCCTTGACTCCTGCCACCCCAGAGTTCCAAGACAGCCACTAAAATGGCACCTGGGCCACCGCTGCTCCCCTCCCTCGGCCACCTGCCCCTGGGGCTTCAGTAGCACGAGCTCCTCACGCTTGGCCGCCGTTTTGCATGTCACCGACATCCCTGCCCAGTGCTTTCTGCCCTGTCCAGTTCTCGGACCTCTTGATGTATCCTCCGTGGTCCCTCAGCCCACAGGCGGTGGGTGGGCGAGCCCCATAGAGAGGACAACAGCCACCCCCATACTCAAGGGCTTCTGCTGTGCTTYACACTCATGGTTCTAGAAACTCCCCCACACTCCCAAACAGGCAAAATCAGCCTCATTTTACAAATGAGAAAACTGAGGCTTAGAGAGGTAAAGTAACTTGCTGAAGGTCACCTATAGGAGGGGAAGGATCCAGGTTCAGAAGCCAGGTGGGTCTGGTCTGATAGGCACACTCCCACACTCCGCAGTGCCTTCCGCAAGGTGCTGGAGTACGCTTTCCTAATGCAGGGATACAACAAGGGCTGCGTGCCTGTCTTCTGCTGTCTTCATCAGACATGTCACATTTGGCAGGTGACACCCACGCAGCAGCATTTACAGGTGGCCAAGAGCCCAAACTGAGCCTTTGGCCCAACAGCCCCRCCCTCACCCCGCCCTGCCTTGTGGCAGGAGACTGAAGAAGCAAGATCTTTCTGGTCCAAAGTGCCTCCTCTACCCTCAGCAGAGACCAGAGACCCCGAAGGCCCCTGCATTGACATCACAGGGRGGTCGCAGCCTGGCCCACCTGGAGCACGACCACAGCAGCTTGAGGTCAGGAGAGGTAGGAAGGGAGACTCCCCAGTGTCGTGGAGAGGACTTTCATATCCTAGGAGAGACCTTTGGCCTCAAAGTGGATGTATTCATAGGTTTAAGATTTTAGAATAGTTAGCGTTTTAGAATTATTTGCAGGGCCCAGGAATTGATGCTACTTAAGCTCACAGTCATAAACATCTATTAGATTTTTATTAGGTTCTACTTAACAGAGCAATCTTTGAAGTGTTATAGATAAAGGAAACTGTGTTTAAGATTTAGGACGGAGTTGGGGTGGGAAAATCCTACAGCCTGGTTTAGATTCCAAAGCAGGAGGGGACAAATGACTGAGGCTTGTCAGGGTKTTTACCACAGGGTTTTCTAAAGTGATATTTTATTGAATTCTGGTCCACCTGATGTCAATAGGTGCATCCAGAGGGGAAATGAGTTCCATGGCCCTGTGAATTGAGAAACCCAGTTCAGGTTTGCTGCTGGAGAATTTGTTAGAGTCTTTAATGTATTAATGCATGTCTTGGCCCTCCAAGGACGCATCCTATGGACTTCCCACATTTATTTGATCYCTCCTGTAACATCTCCTGGAAGAGGGCTCCTTGAGTCCTAGCTGGATTGGGGAGATGCCGATCTTGCAGATTCTCCTGTGATCAGATGGTGCTGTTGATTTGAGCTAAGGAAGGAGCATGTGAGTCAGACCCTCTTTGGCTCCTATTCAAAGGTCTGGGTGCCACGTTCGGCTTACAGGCTCAGTCTCTCTGAGCCCGGAGCCACTGTCTCCAGGTGGTTCTGCCACACCTGGGCTAGAGGAGAAGCACCAGGCACTCCAGAAATCCAAGACTGTCACAGCCAGTGAGAAACCCCAGGAGCTCATTGTCCTTGGGGCAAGAGGGAATATGATGTCACAACCAAAGAAGAAAATGTGTTATCAATGTTCAATGATGAGCATGAGCTAGAGGAGAGGCTGGGGTTCGGTGGGCAGGCCCCACCACGGGCAGCTTCCTAAGCAACAGCCACCAATTGCTGAGCCCCATACCCAGATGTTATCTGTGGGATGTTGGATGTTAACAGTTTATAGCTAATTAAGGATTAGCTTCCTCCGTGGGAAGAACCCCCCGCCAGGGCTGGGGGGGGGATGGGCTTATGTACGCATCCTGGAACCGGTGGCCGACGTCCCCATTAGTAAGGCAGGTTCTAGGGGTGCATCCAGAAAAATGGGGTGAAGTCATCCCCACCAGACTCACCTCTGCTGGTGGCAGGTGACCAGGAGCAGGGAGGCAGGGTGGTCAGCATAAGAAGGCAAATGTTAGGATTGCTTATGAACCGRCCCAGGGGCCAGGGGAATCCAAGGTGGCTCCAGTCAGGTCTCAAGGCCCTTAAGAAGAAACCAAGGCTGAGCCTAGCCACAGGGTGGAGACAACCCTTGATCCTGAGGTCCTGCAGGAGGACAGAGCCTGGCAGAGCTGTCCCCAACCATGGCTTTTAAATGCTCCTCCATGGAGTGGGCTTGGCCTCCCCTGGGTGGGGCTGACCCCGGCAGAGACAGGGAAAGAGTCTGTGGGTGGGAGCTGGCACTGCCCACTCTCCCAAGACAGCCCGGTGTCCACACGTGCCTCTAACAGCCTCCACTGCGTCTCCTCTGCATGTCCCCGCCCTCAGCCAGCCTGCTGCCCCCTCACCAGGTTGCTCTGAGCAATGGCCCCAGTGTGGTGTGTTGTACTAACAAAGCGACATCTAGCAGATTCCGGGGGGAAAGAAACCCCACTGTGTTTCCACCAAACCCAGCTGAACAAAACGCGGGCCACTGACCCCGAACTTCGGCTGCTCCACCTGCGCACCAGGAGAGTGGGTTGTAACGCGCATTCTCGTTTTATATTTTATCAGCCCGCATGGTCAGTAAAGGCAAAGAGGGGACTGGAAGCGAGGACAGAAAAGCAAAGGTAAGCTGACTCCGGGAACCTCTGATGCCGGTCACTGTCATGGAGGGCTTGAGCTTTGTGTGTGCGGTCACACACCACGTAGGGGGCATTTGTCACTAGAGAGCAACTGTCATTTGAAGTGCATTGTGTTTTTCTGCAAGGTTTAAAAAAATCCCATCATTTATCAATTTTGTACCAGAGAAGGACCGTCAGAAGGTTAATGACATGGTGCTCCTTAAATTGCCATCTCCTCAGCATAGTTTGAATGAGGGTGTGTTTGAATTTTCTACAATAAAGTTTGAGTCTTGCACATCTTACACTTGCCACCCCAGATCTAGGCCCAGCAAATAAATAAATAAATAAATAAATAAATAAATAAATATACATTATGTGATACATAAAAAATATATGACACTATATGTATATATTGAATGATATGTGATACATAAAAATATATGACACTATATGTATATATTGAATGATATGTGATACATAAAAATATATGACACTATATGTATATATTGATCATATATATATATATATATATATATATATGATACAAATGTACATGTATATGATACATAGAAAATGCATTAGGGCTGGGCACAATGGCACACACCTGTAATCCCAGTGGCTCAGGAGGCTGAGGCAGGAGAATCTCAAGGTTCAAAGCCAGCCTCAGCAACTTAGCAAGGTCCTAAGCAACTCAATGAGACCCTGTCTCTAAATAAAATACAAAATAGGGCTGGGGATGTGGCTCAGTGGTCAAGTGCCCCTGAGTTCAATCCCTGGTAACCCTCCCAAAAAAAAAGAAGAAAAAATGCATCAGGGAGCTGAGTGTGGTGGCACACACCTGCCATCCCAGTGACTGAGGCAGAGGCAGGAGGATCATAAGTTTGAGAGCTTGTATCTCAAAACAAAAAATAAAAAGGCCTGGGATGTAACTCGGTGGCTGAGCGCCTCTGGGTTCAATCCTCAGTACTGCACAAAATAAACAGAATACATTAGGAGGCTGAGGGGATCTTGAGCCAGGAAGTGGTCTCCAGCCAATGCAGGGAGTCCGGTGAGCCCGGGAAGTGAAGGAAGTCAATGAGCAGGCTGCGGCAGGGCAGGGAAAGGCTTGCCACGGAGGACAAGCACAGGACCAAGGGCCTCAGGCAGAAGTGTAGCGGGGACTAGCGACTGGCCCMGTGGCTGATCCTCTGTGTGGGCTGACGTGAGCTGGAAGGATATGAGAGGAGGGAAAACTGACCCACTCCTTAAACAGAGTGGAGAAGCGAGGGTTGGTGCAGTGGACACCGTTTTGCAGTCTTGCCATAGTGGCGATTTGGGCTGAACCCTCATCAGTCTTCAACAAGCAATCCCAGGGACGGCAAATGAGGCCACCTGTGTGCCACACGCCTGCCTCCTGAACCCTGCTGGTCCCTGTCAGGCGTTCATTCTTCAGCTGCAGTTTACCCCCTCGGTAGCTCTGCCTCCTTGAAAGTACTCCAGAGGCTTGGCGTAGCAGCACCCACCTGTAATCCCAGCCACTCAGGAAGCTGAAGCAGGAGGATCTCAAGTTCAAGGCCAAGCTGGGCAACTTGGCAAGAACTTGTCCCAAAGTGAAAAAATAAAGTAAAAAGGGCCGGGGGCCTTTCTTCTTTCTGAGAGGACCCACTCTCTTTCTTGAGTCCACTCTCCCCTTTCCTTTTCCTTCTAATAAACTCATGCCTGTTACTCGAAAGAAAGACAGGAAAAGAAAAAAGGAATGGGAAAGAAGCAGCTGGGGATGTTGCTCAGGGGTAGGGCACCCCCGGTTCAATCCCCAGAACCGCGAAAATAAAAAGGAAAAACAATAATGTTCCCAAAATTGCTCTGCTCAGTTTCCCTAGAAAATCCCACCCGGCCCTCAACAACACCTATTTTAGAGCAAAAAAAAAAAAAAATTCTAATATAAATGCTCCCTTTGGGGTTGGGGAGGTAGCTCAGTGATAGAAAAAGGCTCTAAGTTCCATCCCCGGCACCACCCAAAAAAACCAAATGCTGCCTGGAACATCTGGAGTGCCGTCAGTCGTGGGGCCCTGTCGGGTCTCCAGGTGCAGAAGGTGGCTTGAGTTTGGGAGCAGGTGTTGAGTGCTGCCACTGGAAGAGCTTGCCCAGGAAGGCAGATGAGCACCCTGCAAGGACTGAGAGAGCCCTGCCCCTGTGCTTGAGGCCCAAGCAATAACTGTCAATCATTTAGTGTTGCAGAGGGGCAGGGACTGGCTGCCTCGGTGTTCATTCATTCTGCACACATGGGTGCAAGGTCCCTGCCCTGGAGTGGCCCCAGTTGCAGGAGGTCAACTGTGCTACACACCTAGCCAAGTAGGGAGAAATGCCAGTGGACAGGAGCCTTGCCCAGCTAGGGAAGGAGGGGCCACCAGTAACTACCCCTACGTTTTCAGCTTTGTCACCAGCCCCAGAGCCTCAGTCCTTGTTCCCTTGCCCCCTCCCTTGGGCTCTCCTCCTTGCCAGGGCTGGCACAGAGGGACTCAGCCACTATAGCGGGGAATTCAAGGGTGAGGAGGAAACCCCAGAGAAGCCCAGTGACATCTCTGGCCAGGTCGCTGCTCTGTGGCTCTGACTCCCTCCCCGGGGCACCCTAACTTAGCTCTCAGCTTTCATTCCTGAGGGTGTGGCCCCAAGAGGCAGTTAGGACAAACCAGGGGTGCCGGCCTCCGTCCATCAAGCCTGTCCTGTTGGCCATTTCATTAGGTGGAACACGCAAAACTTGACTTTGCCCATCTTGGAATTTACCAGATAGGATTAAGACTAGTTTTATTTGAGACTCATTCAGAAAACTTGCATGTGGGTGACCTCAGTGGTGTCAGACACAATCTCCAGGGGTTGGAGCCGGGCAGTCCTCCCTGAGGATTGTCCCTCCTATCCACTTGTTATCTTCTCTTTAAAAGTTCTGTCATTTGTGAGTTGGCCACCGTAGCTCATCTAGCTAGCTGACGGATAACTCCGTGATCCGGGAAGGTGGTCGCTTCTCTTTCCTCGTGACCAGGACGGATGAGGGCACTGGTCCCAACAGCACGGGGCTCGCCTCTTTAAACACGCCTGCCTCTGTTCCTGTAGTCTCTGCCCTGTTTCAGTTTGTCTCCCTCCCAAAGTGCTGACGTTCACTTTGGTTTTATTTGTGTTTAGTTGAAGACACCCACGCCTTCCTGTGCTAAAGCCTGAGAAACAGGCCTTGCCTTAGCCCCAGCGCCCCACTCCATGTAGCTCAGACCCTTTGATCAAACCCTCCGGCCCCGAGCCAGCTTCCTCTCCTAAACACATCTCTTCTGTCACACCCCCAACGGGCAGTTGGGAGCAGAGGAGATGAAGTTCAAGGTAAGGAAATGACCTTGGACAGAACCAGGCTACCCTAGCGGGGTTTCTGTGAATGTCCTCTTAGTCACGGTGACCTTCTTTAAATAAGCTCCTGCAGGGTCTTTCCACACAGAATAGTGAAAATTCTAGCTGAAGAAGGAAAGGGGCCTCTGGGCCTTGCTTCTCCCGTGCCCCTGCCCTTGGCAGCAGCGGCCCCTGAGGCCCTGAGGATCCGAGTTTGAAAGTCGCCCCTGGGTAGGTTGCTGTGCCCATCCTTGGCTTTGGTAACCGGAGCGGCCTGCAGACGACCTGTTCCCACGGGCTCACTCCCTCCTGAGCCGGCTAGTGCTCTGTGGTCAGTGCTGGCTGCTTCTTGCAGCTCCTGTTAGGTACAACAGTCACCTCCTGGGACAGACTCCCAACTGCAGACTGCCGGTGCCGGCTCTTGCTCCTGACCTTTGGCCAGGGTTCACCTGCCAAGCGCCCTTAGCGCACCTGAGACCTGCAGGTCGTTTGGGACAGAACAAAAGAACATGACCTCGTTCTGTTTAGTATTTTCAGTCTGGTTCAACAAATAGTGTCCCCAGGAGTCTCTGGTGACACCAACACGTCAGCCAGGTACATCCATAAAGTCGGAAAATGAGTGTCCCCATGGGCATGGCCTCCCAGTCTCCTGCCCACTGATCAACACCTAGTGGACAACAACCCTGATCTTGCTACACGCTCTTTTGTCTTTTTATAAAATAACGTCAGCATGGCGAGTGCTGATAACCAATGCAAATAATGCCCCTGGGAGGAAATGGCAACGGGGTGCTTGGCGCTGGGGTGGGGCTGGGCTGTCTGAGCTGCAAACCCTTGAGGTTGTTGGACATGTTTGTTGCATCCAGAAGGCAAAGGGTCACCCGCTTTCGCCTCCTTGAGTTGAGGAGGGGTCCTTGGGGCCGGCCTTGACTTACTGACAGTCACACTCCCCGTTGGTGAAAAACACTTTACCCTAATTCCATTTACAGGGGGCTGATAGTAAAACTGGAACAAAGATCGCCACACCCCGGGGAACAGCCCCTCCAGGCCAGAAAGGCACGGCCAACGCCACCAGGATTCCAGCCAAAACCACACCCAGCCCAAAGACACCGCCGGGCACTGGTAAGAAGAATGTTCAGAGGAAGCTCCCAGAAGGTACAGTCCTCTCAGGACGCCACTGGCAATAATAACCCCTGCAGCTGAGCAAGGCCTTGTGGTTTGCTAAGCACTGGAATGTTCTCCGTCTTTGTAATACTTTTGGCAGTTTTCTGGGGTGGACACTAAATCCTTACTTTTAATCAGTGAAGGCTCTGAGAGTTTGCTTGGCTCCGTCTAACCAGCATGAGGAAAAGTGCTGTCATATGATGCGTTAAGTGGCAGGATAAGGGGCTTCTCTGTCTTCCAACCCAGGGTTCTGGGGAGGCAGCCCCAGCTGAAAGTGTTTTCAGGCCCCCAAACAGGGCATGGTGGCACTGTCTCTCTGGAGACAGCAGCAGTCTGGACAGGTCACTCTGGGTGACCTCACACAGGGCTTGGCCCTGAGCAGCCTCACTCTCTGGGTATGTTAGGAATCTTCTGGCAAAACCCAAGGGTCTTAACTGAGCAGTGGCGAGCTGTGCCCATTGTCCTGGACTCCTGTGAGCCAAAGCCAGTCAGTGTTGGATACCCGCCTGTTGGGCTGGCCATGTGCAGCTGCTAGGAATGGCAGCCCTCTTCCGTTGCCCTGGCGACCTGTTCCCTGCAAGTGGGTCTAGATGCTGCACAACTTAGGGGAGTGTGGCCTGCATTTGCTTCTGGGCAGCACCCAGGAGGCCTGTGGATCTTGGTGCCGCTGCGGTGAAGGCCTGGCCTGTCTCAGTGTCCCCGCTTGCCTAGCCTGCGGTGGCCCTCACAGCCATGATTGACACTGCATGCTTCTGACCTGGCGTTGCCCCCGGTGTGCGGGAGGGTGGGCTGCTGGTTCGGGCAGTGGGCTTCGTTTTCACTAGTGTTTTCTTGCTGGGGTTTCCTCGAGCACTTATGATCTGGGGAGAATCAGCAGAGTTTCTAATGGGATTTTCATATGATTTTGAGCCTGCTGCGTCTCTTGGCTTTATGCCAGTCGCTTTGCCTATTGCAACAACTTGGACAAGGGTGTGCCTTGCTCTTCAGCTCTACCTGTTCTTAGGTGGCTGCCTGTAGGCGGACGCGTCTTCTCGGCTCGGCCCTGGACTTGGTTTCCTGCCCCCTGTGCCTGTTCCCTGCCTCCCCGTCCTGGGCCAGATGGCCCAGCGGGCTCCACGTGAAGAACGCCTTAAGACCCTTTAAGCCTGATTGTAATAAGGCCGTCTGTGGCTTTTTCTTTTTAAGCTTCCAAGCAAGTGCACAGAAAACCACCCCCTGCAGGGGCAAAGTCTGAGAGAGGTAAATGTGGGCCTGCTTCCCGGGTGGGCAGGCCCCCGGGGCATGTCTGCTGCCCCGGGCTTGTTGGCAAGGCTGGGCCAAGCTGGCAGGCTCCCCAGCGAGCCGAGGGCTGCTTCCCTCCTGTGTGATTTGTGCAGCTGGGTCTGTCTGGTGGACTCTCCACACAGCCTCTTCTCGTTTGCTTCAGGGACTAGGGCTGTGGGGGTGAGGACAGGGGAGTATGTGCCGCAAGGCATTTGGGGTGCTGGTTCCTCACGAGGGTTTAGGTAGGAAATTACCTCTGGCCTTCTCGAAGGTGCGTTCTGTGAGCACCACAGCTGGGCTGGACACCGCCTGTTAGGATGTCCCAACTTCAAGACTATCTTACATTCGCTGGTGCATAAGATGCCTGTAATCCCAATGACTGAGGAGGCTGAGGCAGGAGGATAGCAAGTTTGAGGTTGACCTCAGCAATTTAATGTGGCTCTAAACAACTTAGCAAGACCCTGTCTCAAAATAAAAAAAATAAAAAGGGCTGTGGCTCAGCGGTTAAGCGCCCCTAGGTTCAATCCCTGCTACCAAAGGGGAAAAAAAGACCATCTTGTGGGCACTGATCCCTCTTCCCAGGCTTGGGGAGGGTGATTGACCTGCCCAGAGTCACTCTGCAAGAGATGACATTTCTCGGGTGACCACGACCGGGCCTCCTGTGTCCCTGGAGACAGGAAGGCAGAGGCTGGCCTGGAGCAGAGGCCCCACTTAGCAAGGTCCTAAGCAACTCACACTCTGCAATTCACACTCTGCACACTGAGGTGCTTGCTGACACTTGACCAGGGCACTCCAGACGTTGCAGACAGCAAGGACTGCAGATTACAGCGTTTGTTATGGATGGTTCCTGGCCTGGGGTGGGGAGTGAGGAAACCAGTTTTGCCAGCCCCACGCCTTAAGGTTCTGCCCTAGCAGATCAGGATGGGGCCCAGCAATCGGCATTTCACAGGTCTCACTTCCTCCTCAAATGCTCCAAAGATTTGCCAAAGGAAAAGAAAAAAATAAAATGAAAAATCCCAGAGGTTCTGACCTGGGGTTCCCAGGGCCCCACTTTGAAAATCACCAACCGCAGACAGAATGGCAAACTCTGAAGTGTAACCGGGGCCCGGGAAGTGCAGCCACAGAAGCAGGTGTAGGGGTGAAGGACTCCCAGAGGTGGAGGGACCCAGTCTGCTGGCAAGCAGAGGTCCCGGCTGCAGGGTCGGGGCCTGCAGGTGCTTGGAAAGGGGTGTGGTCTGGCCCGCACAGGTGTGGGGGATGGGCATTCTTGGGCGGGGGCGACAGCCAGCAGGACCTGGTGGTGGGAAGAGGCTTGGCGTGGCCGGTGGGCTCAGGCAGCGAGGCAGACAGTGGACATGTGGTTCCAGAGCCAGGGAATGGGGTAGGAGCCCTGGAGTTGGACGGGGTGGGTAAAGGGCCAGCTTGGTCTGGGCTTGAGGGCAGCAGCTGGGTCCTGTCATCGTGTCACCTTTGGGCAGGGTAAGGGCCACACTGGTGTGAATTTTGCAAAGCATATTGACACATGCCTCCATAGGCAGCCTCCCTCCCTGCAGGCTCCATAATCCTGTCCATCTCCAATCTGAGGCCTCTGAGTTCAGAGAGGGGTAGTGACTTGCCTGGGACCACACAGCTAGTTGGCCCCAGGGCCATGGCAGGATATTGATGGGACATTGATGAACATTCTGTTGCTGTTCTGGGGAATGGCGTCACTGTCCCTAAGTGACAAGGTCAGCAGGAGGAGAGGCTTCTGCAGCAGTGGGCTCCAGGGCTTCCTCCTGCCGAGGTTGCTGAGCTCTCAACCTTGTTCCCACCTGCCTGTTCCGTCCTGAGCCTGACAGGGGCCCCCGGGGCCTTTGCTGACCCCCTCCCCTTAGCCTGCCTTCCTCCCTTTCTCACCAGGTGAACCAGCAAAATCTGGGGATCGCAGTGGCTACAGCAGCCCCGGCTCTCCAGGCACCCCCGGCAGCCGTTCCCGCACCCCGTCCCTGCCCACGCCACCCACCCGAGAGCCCAAGAAGGTGGCAGTGGTCCGCACTCCACCCAAGTCACCGTCTTCCACCAAGAGCCGCCTGCAGACTGCGCCCGTGCCCATGCCAGACCTGAAGAACGTCAGGTCCAAGATCGGCTCCACCGAGAACCTGAAGCACCAGCCAGGAGGGGGCAAGGTAAGGCGCACGGGCTGCTGTGCGTGAGGGCTCACGGGTGGGTCCTGTCACCAGCCTGGCTCAGCTGCCACCCCTCCCAGAGCACCTGCCCTGACCCTGGCCTCTTCATCAGGTCACCTTCAAGCCGCGGTGTCCCGCTTGGGGCAAAGCCCTGGTTCTTCCTTTCCCCCCGCAGCCCCTGCTGATCAGATGGAGAGTACAGGTTGTGTCCCCTGGCCTGTGGTCCTCAAGGTGGGGGTGCCCACGGCGGTGCCATCCAGAGGTGGGAGCAGGCGTGCATTGGGCATCCCAGGTTTCTCTATAATCCTCGGTTCTGGGGAAATTTGGGGACACCACTTGGAAGGACTGACCCTTCTGGGGTTAGGAGGGCATCTCGGAGTCTTCAGACGTCCTAAGGGTGGAGAAAMGGGCCTTGAGGGCCTAGGGCAGCAGGACAGGGGACCGGCCAGTCCCCCTTCCTCTGCTCGTCCCTCTCCCCCCTGTGAGATGGTTAAACAGGGGAGATGTATTTACTCCTAGTTCTGGAGGCTGCGGGCCTCAGTGTGTCCAGAGGCTGGCTTCTGAGGCCTGTCCTCAGCTGGCGGACGGCCACCTTCCCCGTGCGCTCACTCGGCCGGCCTTCCCTTCATGTGCCCGTTGTCATCTCCTCATCTAAGGACACCAGCCCTGTTGGATTAGGGCTGCTCAGCCGCCTCCTTCCACACAGTCACATTCCGAGATCCTGAGTTTGGGGTGTCCACATAAGGATCTGGGGGGACTCAGTTCAGCTCAGAACACCCTCCTCTCCCAGCACCCGGAGGAGCCGAGAAGGGAGAAGAGGAGGCGTGCGTGGGGTGTCCACCTCCGCCACCCCATGCACTGGGCTTTCTGGGCCCCCCTTCTGGGGCCTCCTGGGGGCTGTGTGAGCCCCTCGGGACCTGGGTGCTTCCCTTCCAGTTGGGACAGCTTGCCTCCCCTCTTCGGGTGCTCGCCCCACTGTTGAATTTATGTCACTCTCGGCTGGAGCTGGTCACTACAGGGAGACGGCCTCGGTGCCCTGGGTGCCTTCCTCACCTGACCTGTCCTCCTGTTGGCCCTTCAGTCCTCAGAGCTGGAAACTCCTGCCCGCTGGTCGCTTGGGGCAGCCCCTGGGCCCCGGTGCCTGGCCATCTTGCCCCTGCCTCCAGGCTGGAGGCTGGAGGCCGGCCGTGAGTCCAATGCTGGGTCTTCATATCACCGTGGCTTAGTCCTGCGTCTGTGTTAGTGGTACTGGCCCTGCTCCTCCCTGGGGACGCCTGGCTCCTCCAGAAAGGGCCCTGGGGGTTGACCTGAAGTTGACCCTGTGGAGCTGTGGCCAAGGCCCCGGAGGCAGCTTTGGGAGCTGGTGGGATGGTCTCCTACCGAGCACCTGCGGTCCTGGCCCTGCAGCAGCCAGCCGCACGGGCCCTGTGGTCACGGCGCATCAGGGCGCATCAGGACCGTGTGCTTCCATCCTGAAGAACGAAGAGGACCCTGTGCAGCGTGGCCACACGGTGCGGTGGCAAGAGGAAGGCAGGGCCACCCCCCACTCAGGGACAAGTGCACCCCGGCTTCCCGGCTCCGCACACCAACATAGACCCCCACGAAGTGAGTGGACGGGGAGCTGATAGAAAGGACAGATGGTGCCAGGAGGGTGAGAGCTCACGCCACACGGCTCAGCCGCAGCTCAGGAGCCCCAGCGCCAGGCCCTGCGCGGAGCCCCTCTGACCAAGGAAAGGATGGACAGCGGCCCACACAGGGCCCCACACAGGGCCATGGAGACAGGCGCGGCCTGGGGACTCGGAGTCAGGAAGTGGGATCCATTGGTCTCCTGCCCCGGGCACTAATCCTAGTTGGATTAAAGGTCCTGCCTGTCCCCACTCTGGCTAGTGTGTGGCTTTTAAAAGAAAAGACAGCGACTCCGGAGGCTGAGCAGGAAAATAGTGAGTTTGAGGCCAGCCTCAGCAACTTAGCCAGACCCAGTCTCCAAACCAAACAAATGGTGACAAGGGCTGGGCTGTGGCTCAGTGGACAGCACTTGCCTAGCCCGTGTGAGGCCCTGGGCTCCATGCCCAGTACTGCGAAGAGGGTGGTGGAGAGGGAGAGGGAGGGAGAAGAAAAGGTTTGTCGGACCCATGGTCAGGTAGCTCTGCAGAGTAGCTCCAGGTCACCACGAGGCTCTGCCCAGCATGAGCGCCCCCAGCTGCTGTCCACACTTCCATCTCAGGCTCCCTTGTCCCTAATGACCCCAGGAGGCTCCATCTCAGGACCCCAGTGACTGTCACTCTGCAGGGTGCCGGCTGTTTGACCCACAAGGTACCCTGACTGGCTTTCCTCCCTCTCCCAGCCTGGACACCCCACTTCAGCCCCCTAGACTGCAACCCAGGTACAGCCACGTCTTCTCAGGACGCGTGGCAGGCACCCCTCCTCCTCTCCTACCCTCTCCCAGATTCCGCACTAGCTCTGCCATGACCTGGCTCTGCCCTTCCACCCCACCGTTGCTGTTCCAGCCTCCCTGTGCCCATCAGACCCTAGTCCTGGACCTTGGCTCTACCAGGCCTGTACCCATGACCTCCCCTCCTCGCATCCAGATTCTGCCGCTTCTCCTCCAGGTTTGGGCCCAGGGCCTGCCATCTGCCCACCCCTGACTCTCCCCTGTGTCCTGATGGGCTCAGGGTGCTCTGCTCAGTCCCTCCTTGCCCTTTCCATCTGCCGAGAATGCCCTTCCCTCCGACCTCTCCCTTCCCTCAAGCCAAGCTCAGGTGCCATCTACTCCAGGAAGTCTTCCCAGATTCCCTCTGCCTTCTGAGCCGTAGCCGAGGGTGGAGGCTGAGTCTCGTGGCCACTCAGGTGGCAAGCGCTCCTGGAATGGGGGACAGTGTAACTCAGCACCTCTGAGCCCGCGGAGGACTCAGGCGGAGGGGGCGGGAGCTGTACCCTGACGGAGGCAGCTCCCCTGGCAGCCCTGGCTCATCTGCGGTTGGCTGGGAAGGTGGGAGTGCTGGGGACCAGGGGCGTCCTGCAGCTCAGCTGGGAGCAGCAGAAATAGGGATGAACGGGAAGATGACAGTCCACAGAGGAGGCCCTGAGCTGTCCTCGCATCAGGGCAGCTGGACAGAGATGGCACATCCTCATCCACTGGAAGGGCCTCTCAGGGCAGAACTGTGGGAAGGGACCGAGGAGCAGAAACAGCCTGTGTCACGTTCCATGAAGCCTAGAAGACCGTCTGGAACCAAGAAGACCTAGGTGCAGCCACAGAGGCCAACCCTGGGACCTCCAGGGACAGGGGAAAGGCCGACAGATCAGCTCAGGCCTCCTCCCTCTGGACTGGGCAGAAGGCTTGGAGAGCTGCACTGAGATCTTTGGGTGCCCAGGTCCACGCGCAGCAAGTGCTCAATAAATGTTTAGCTACAAAGAGACAAAGCTGTGAGAGTCTGAAGAACCGGACGGAGGCCGGCCCCCGCTGTGCGCCAGACACTGAGCCCCAGACCACAGGGCACTGATTGGAAAGTGTGCGACGTCTATTTTTCTCCTTTGGGCTTTTTCTCTGTTTTCACAATTTGCGACCGTGAACACTTATTGCTTTAAGAGTCCAAAACAAAGTTATTTTTACAGGAAAATGCAGAGAATCAGTGCTGCACCCCAGAAGGGGGTGGGTGGACTCYAGGCGGGGGCTGCACAGCTGCTCAGGGATTCTTTTAAACATCTAGTGCCTGAGTCCCCACAGACCTGCTGTGGCCTTGGAGTGGGCCTTACCAGGTGTCTCCACTGGATAGTCCAGGCTGGGACCTGATGTCTGAAAATCTTACCTGCTGACCTCAGGTCTTGACCCCAACTACTGGGGGCTCTTGCGCATGCTGGATTTGGTGACTGATCGTCCTATTCTGGTCGACACCCTGTCCCCATTTGCAGATTCCATGCAACTGGCTCCTTGGTCAGCTCAGACCCGGCCATTGCTCAACCTTCAGGAGCTACCCCCAGCCCTGTGCGGTCCCTGGGGGTGGGGAGCTGGGGTGGATTAAAACTGTCCACTGCGGCTATGAGTGATGGGCTGTCTGTGCCCTTGTGTCCTGGTGAGGGTGACAGTGGGTGCAGTCAGACGCCACAAGGGAAGGTTCCTAGGCTCTCAGCTCAGTCCTCAAGTCAATGATCTGCTGAGGGGCCTCCTGCACCTGCCTCTGGACTAGAGTGCAGCCTTGGTCAGGTCACCTTGAGGCCTTTGTGGCCTCCAGGTTGATCCTGATCCGCAGGAAGGGCTGTCGGTCTGCATCTTAGAAACAAAAGCTGGGATTCAGAAAAAAATGGTAAACTCAAAAAATATGCATTTATTAATATTTACCCCCCAAATTTAAATATCTCCAATAATGAGAAAATCAATACTATAAAATATTATGGAATCATTAAAAAGGATCTTTGAATATAATGTTCAATAATTATAAAATTATAAATTGTTATACTAATAAATGAATAAGTAATGTAGGCAATGCCTCCCATCTATAGGAAAAGTAGAAGCAAAACCAGGCAAGTGGCCACGCCTCGACTCAGCTTCTCCAGAGGCTGAGGCAGGGGAATGGCAAGTTTGAATCTAACCTGTGCAATTTAGTGAGACCACCTTAAAACAGGAATTTTAAAAAGGGCTGAGGATGTTGTTCAGTGTAGAGCCCTTGCCTAACAATGTGGGAGGCTCTGAGTTCAATCCTAGTATTGCAAAAGTTTTTTAAAAAAAAAAAAAGTGCAAAGAAGAATGTCTGAAAGAAAATATGACAAATAGTGACTCATAGGGATTGTGATTCTTTTTCTTGTATTTTTCCCTTCCCAAATTTTCTACAATGAAAATATTTATAAACTGAAGGAAGATTTATAGAAATTCAGTTGTAACTGGAGATGTTAAATAACAGTAGGTGAGAGTAAAGTACAAGACAAGGAAGCCACGGGCAGTGGCTATACCTCCCAGCAACTCAGGAGGTTGAGGTATGAGGTTTGCAACTCGGAGGCGGGCCTCC